GGGTCACGAAGAGTCGGACATGACTTAACGACTGAACAACAACAAAATCCATCAATGCATGATGTCTATGTGCTGTTTCTTTGCTACATTTTTAGCAATATCCTACCATGAGTATCAGTCACTGAGACTACACTTATTTAATATATAATATATATTAATATATTATATACAAAGTCACATTAGAAGAAAGCATTTATTTCCAAGATTTCTTTTTCATTTCTATTAGGTACAGCCCATCAGATTTTAGTATAAGGCAATTTCCTTAGCAACTTATATACCAATGAATGTTAACCTCTGTAATATAAGCTAGGCAAGCATATTTGATATGTGGACAAACTTTGGCCATTGGTCCAAAAAGTAAAAGAAAGCCTCCTAACACCATGTGCAAGTTATTCTTTCAGACTATTAAATAATGAAACTAAATAAAAGTTTAGTTTTATAAAATAAATTGCAAAAAATTACAACTCATTTTTATTAAACTCTGTTTACATTTGTTAAACATACAGATCCCTATAGATTGGTGGGATAGTAATTAACTATATGCAAAGCATCTAAATAACAAGCTTCAGTTCTGGATGGAATCAGAACGAATTTTATAGGGTGAATAAGCTGGTTTTAGATAACGTTGGTCAACTGTAGACCATGTTCTGGTACTACACCATGCTATTTGGAAGCAAATTCCCAATTTAAAATCACATTTATAGGTAGCATTCCTGGACTTTAAATTTGCCATTTGCATCTAGAAAGATTTTGTAGGAGAAGCTCAAAAATACCATCATGAGTATGGAACTTCTTTATCTGATTTTGCATATCAATTTGCATATCAATTATTCCATGAGAGTAAGACAGTAAGAGTAACAACCAAGGGCTGTTTTCTGAGGTGATACACATACAGAGAGTTATGTTACGGGGATGGCCCCTGATCTGTTTGTTTATTAGTTCAATAATTGAATCATAGAAAATTCAGATTGTCACATCCCCAAATTACTAGGCACCAATATCCCAATACTGCTACACAAAGATCTCTTACTCTCCTACAGGTCTTAGAAAAGCAATGAGTTATATAGTTCAATATAGAATATAACAGGCTGGTATTTAAATAAAATACACACACACACACAGAGTATGCATATATGTGTGTGTGAGTGTGTGTGTATCTGTGTGTGTGTCACAATCTTTGCCAAAAATGGCCAAAAGATAGAATATAGATGAAAACCCAACAGAACACATCCATATTTGGGAGTGGTTTTTCATCCCAAGGGAATCTGGAGGGCTCACCATGTTTATATCATCCTATTGTATTAAGATCTGTAACAACCAAATAATTAACATTATTTAAAACATGTGAGATGGAAATATAAAAAATGTTGGGACCCATAAAAATGGGATATAGGGAGGGCTGGATAACTTTTCTACTCTTTGGATTAGGTCTTGAAATTTTTTTCTTACCAAATTCAGAAAATTTACCAAATAAGTCATAGTGCACTGTGAAGGGTTTGCCCACTTCTAATCCTGTCCTTTTCACCTCCCTGAACTTCTGAGGCAAATCTGAATGTCTAAATTTCTTTTTCCTTCGGGCTCTGTGGCAACCAAAGCTGAGCACCACTTTCATGAAACAGTTTGTTTTACAGAAATCACAAAATAATTTCTATAAATAAAGCATAAAACAAATGTGCAAGCCTAAGGTACAACTACGTTTGTGACTGACTATGGCCGGCTTGTTCAAACGGTAACCTCTAAAATATGCTGTTTTAGTTCCCATAATCTTTAAATGGTATGGAAAGTTGGATCACAACACTGCATTGTTTCAGACAGAAATATACATCCAGATTGTTCCTAAATTCATTTATCTTACCTCCCAAAAGTGTCATATTATTTATTACTGAGTAAAATTATACAAATAATGGATACATCTTGTCTTTCAAATATTTTTTGTCTTATAATATCTTATAATAGTAGTTAATTCATAAAGTATTAATTAGTTATAATGGATAACTGCTGGATTACATTAGATGCCTTACTAATGTATGAAGGAAATTTTGATGAACTTATGCATACTGAATTTTAATTTTTTTACTTGATATTTTTTAAAAATATTTAAGATAATTGCTTTCATTAGTTTTAGTACATAAAACTAATTCATTTGGATAGCTTTATTTATAGTCAAACTTCTTTTTATTAATTTATAAAAGTTTTCTGCATGAAAACTCCCCCATATGATTTTTGTATTCATATGCATACAAAGGTTTCTCTTTTTTTTCTTTGCACCTTGTATAAGCAAATATATCACTTCACACTTGAAACCACACTAAATTACTGCAGAAGCATCTTGCACTCCTTAAAATTATAGATCAGGACCAGTCTCGAGGTACCTGCTTTATATAAAAATATTATTTATTACAGTCATTACAGATATCAGAGACCCCAGTGATTACTGCTTTATAAATCCTGCACACGTGTATAATGTACTCATTTTAGTATGCTAGATATCACAAGCTTTAAACAAACTCTTTAAATAAGGATGTAACAGTCTAAGCAATTGTTTAATTTCAGTATCTTTGCTGAGTTTTTAAGGAGCAATTCCTTTCCTGATGAGCACACAAGACTCTGTAGAAGGTTAATGGGAGTTTTGTGACTGTATCCTGTAGGGAATAAACACATTGCTCTAGTCAAAATAGTTATAAAATATACCTTAACACTTAGCCTTTAAAATGCTTTGCTGCAACCTATTAATGCCCAGAAACAAATTGAGAGCAAATCTAACCTTCTATAGCAGCAAAATTATTACACTATGACTATTCCAACTTTGGACAGTTTTCAGAAATAAAATGTTTTGAAAATTTCAAAAATAAATTTATATTATACAGCTTGTGGAGTCAAGTCCACTTAACTAGACTTGCATAGTCCTATCCAGTTGCTAGTACTGTATTAGGAATATTTTTAACTTACTTACCCTGTCTTTTAAGCCTCTTGGTCTGTATCTATTTTGGACTCAAATATTACAATCAAAAGAAATTATTATACAAATGATGAAGACTGGGTTTTGTAATGAAGTTAATACCACGGACAATTCCATTGATCTGTCTAGTAGCATCCATTTGTGTTCTTCAAACAGCAGAATTAACACAATTGGTAGACAAAAT